CCTGATCTTTTGACCAAACATTTGTAATTAATATTAAACCTCTGAGTGGTTACTTGGGAGCAGCATGCAGGACAGAAACTTCTGCTGGCAGCAGCGTTTGTACATGGGTTGATATTTAACTTTTTCCTCTGGCAGTGTACAGAGTGTTTTCCAGTATTAATGCAGTATTCAATAAGGGCCAAGAATCTATGCAGGCACCAGCTCAACTTCTCCATGCTTAGTGAGCTATGAAAGTGCTGTCTTCAGCAATAAGACCTTACCATCAGTTTGTGGAGAGCAACCAACAGCCTTGCCATTAGCCAGGGCTATTTATAGATTGCCATGGGGCTCCAGTGACCAACAACCAAACTGGATTATAGGTAAACCATTTCCAGTACTGGTGGTTTCATTTGGTGGTGTGAGATGTCTAGTTGGGGTTTTGACTCCCCTGCTAGTGGTGATTCCAATTTAGAATTATTTATGTATGTTATATTTTTAGAAGTTTCAATACAACCCCTCAAATGGCACTCTAGTTTTAGCTATGCTGCCCAGTATTTCTTCCCTTGTCTCTTTCCTCCCCTCCCCACTTCATTATGCCTTTCTCTACCCCTCCCCACTCATCCATAACTATCTATTCTATTTCCCCTTCCCAGGGAATTCCTTCCCTCATCCCAATTCCTGGTCTATACCTAACCTCTGTGGTTATAGTGATCATAGCCTGCTTACCAAATATTTAACAGCTAATGTATAAACAAGTACCATATTTATCTTTTGGGGTCTGGGTTACCTCACTCAGAACAACTTTGTTTCTAGTTCTGTCCATTTACCAGCAAACATTTTTATTTACATTGAGTAGGGTTGGATCTGGGAAAAGCTAAGGGGAGGGAGTTGCAGGTGGATAGGATCAAAATACACTCTATGAAATTTCAAAGAGTCAATAAAATAGTTTTAAAAAGAGTTCAATCCATATGAATTGCATGTGTAAAAATAGCATAACAAATTAAGATTATCTGCCAAGGAAATTGTTGAACTGTGGTAAGCCCATATTTCTATATGGTGTGGCAGCCAGGCTCTAAAGCCATAGACCCCACCTGAGGATGGTCACTAGTTTACCAGACAGGTAGTGGCAACCTATCAAAAGGTCAGGACGTTGTTGCTCTGATGATGGCAAGAGGGTGGCCCTTTGTTCCCAGCCGCCCAGCTATTTTACACCCAAAATAATCACACAGAAACTGTATTCATTAAAATCACTGCCTGACCCATTATCTCTAACCCCTTATTGGCTAACTCTCACATATTGATTTAAATTATTTCTAATAATCTGTATATATTACCACAAGGTCATGGCTTACCGGGAAAGATTCAGCATGTCTGACCTGGTGGCTCCATGGCGGCCCTCTCTGACTCTCTGCTTTCTTCCTCTTAAAATTCAGTTCTGGCTTCTCTGCCTACATAAGTTCTGCCCTATAAGGTCAAGCAGTTTCTTTATTGATTAACCAATGAAAGTGACACATAAACAGAAAGACCTCCTACAACATTTCCCCTCTTCTGTTTAAAAAGGAAAGGAAGGCTTTAATATTAACATAGTAAAATTACATATAACAAAACAGTTATCAAGCAAGAATTACAGTTACAATATTTGTATCTATTTTATCTTTTATAATAACAAAGGAAAACTATAGCTATAACTATCTACCTATTCTTCAATTCCATCAAAGATTCCAGAAGAATATAATATTACCTAAGTAAACAGGAAGTGCATTGTAAGCATCTTCAAAAACTCTAGAAATGACAGAGATATCTCAGTGCCTGGATAGTTACCCATAATTCTTTTGTACTAGCCATCTTCAGCCTACAGGCCCATAGTTTTCAGCAGATGTTTCCAGGAAGCAGTAAATCTCAAAGACAGTTCAGTCACTTTTTTCTGTGTCCTGCAGGATGTCTCACAGACTCTTTTATGAATCAGGAACCCCAAAGGATCATCCTACATTTTGACAAGTTCAGCAGTCATCTCTCTGTGGGTCCTTCATGTCCAGTTTATGCAACAGTCCAGGCAAGAGCAGTTTATTGCCCAAATGGCTAACCACCTCCATAAAGAGTCTCTTTGATGCCCATCATCCTCAGGAAGTAGCTTGGTGCTGCCAAGAGCAGATGTGTCTCATTGTCGTGAAAAGTCCTACTTTATTAAAACATTTTAAATGCCATATTCTGTAATCTTTGAAAGATATGAAGAATGCCTATCTGAAATATATGTATGCACATCTAGAAAAATCTAACTAATGTGACTACAAACTTGACTATTATAGATGATTACCTATTAACCTATATTTCTTAATTATACATTACATTATTAAATGAGCTACACAATACTTTAATCAAAATCAGAAATATATATACATATAAAAATGACCTTAAATTTATATTAATAAAGCAAGATTCATACCAATGCAAATTATTCATATCTATATAATATCTCCCGTTAAATGTAAAAGAACATTTATAAATAATATATGGGAATATGGGCATAGATTTATCCATACTGCTTTGTGCTAATTGGGGGCACTGTTAATCAGGTCTTTCATGCTGTATCCAATGTGCTAGGTTCATCACAGTCACCAGTTGGGCAAATTAATTTCTTGAGGGTGTTCACAACAACCTTTCAGGAGGGCGTGATATATCAAACCATATTTTCTGAGAGGCAATCCACAGGTTCTCATCTTCTGTGAAAACAAAAGAAGAACCTGTCTTCCAATGCATCATATACTTAGACCCAAATTCTGAAGACGTAATAACTTTATAATATTCATGCTGGTTTAATTTAGCAGCCCACACAATGAAACATCTCTCTGTACTTAGCTCCTTCACAGTCACAAAATTTAAATAAAACACAATAATATACAGAATCCAGACTCTCTGTGCATTTTCCCTTTTTACATATCTCTTTTATATTTTCTTTAATCTATGATTATCTGTACTCAGTCTCTTTAAAGACTTTAACCTTTTTTTTTGGTATGGACTTTGGTTTATTGATACAAATTTTAGGTCAATTTTGTTTTTTTTTTCTTTTTTTAAACTTTTTTTTATTGAGAAAAGGAGAATAAAACAAGTTTCCACCTCCTCCGAGACTCCCATTTCCCTCCCCCCCTTTTCCCCCTCCTCCCACCCTTCTCCCCCTCCACCCACTCCTCTCCCCATCCCTCTCCAGTTCAAAGAGCAGTCAGGGTTCCCTGCCCTGTGGTAAGTCCTAGGTCCTGCCCACTCCGTCCATATCGAGGAAGGTGAACATCCAAACTGGCTAGGCTACCACAAAGCCAGCACATTACATAGGATCAAAACCCCGTGCCATTGTCCTTGGCTTCTCATCAACCCTCATTGTTCGCCATGGTCAGAGAGTCCAGTTTTATCCCATGCTTTTTCAGTCACAGTCCAGCTGGCCTTGGTGAGCTCCCAATAGATCAGCTCCACTGTCTCAGTGGGTAGGTGCACCCCTCGTGGTCCTGACTTCTTTGCTCATGTTCTCCCTCCTTCTGCTCCTCATTGGGACCTTGGGAGCTCAGTCCAGTGCTCCAGTGTGGGTCTCTGTCTCTATCTCCATCCTTCACCAAATGAAGGTTCTATGATGATATGCAAGATATTCGTCAGTATTGCTATAGGCTAGGGTCATTTCAGGTTCCCTATCCTCAGCTACCCAAGGAACTAACTAGGGACCTCGGCTTGGGCACCTGGGAGCCACTCTAGGTTCAAGTCTCTTGCCAACCCTAAGGTGGCTCCCTTAACTAAGAATTGTGCTTCCGTGCTCCCCTATCCAACCTTCCTTTATCCCAATCCTCCTTTTTCCCCAAGTTCCCCCCATCCTCCCCTTCTCCCTTTTCTCTCCCCATCTCCCCTTCCCCCCATCCCACCCCCAAGATCCCAATTTTCTCCCCAGCAATTTTGTCTACTTCCCATAGACAAGAGCATTTGTTCAACTATGTTCATCGCAGTATTATTTGTAATAGCCAGAACCTGGAAACAACCTAGATGTCCTTCAATGGAAGAATGGATGAAGAAAGTGTGGAATATCTACACATTAGAGTACTACGCTGCGGTAAAAAACAATGACTTCTCGAATTTTGCATGCAAATGGATGGAAATAGAAAACACTATCCTGAGTGAGGTAACCCAGACCCAAAAAGATGAATATGGGATGTACTCACTCTTAATTGGTTTCTAGCCATAAATAAGGGTCACGGAGACTTTACCCTTTTTTAAAGCACTAACTTTATTTTATGACTCTCTATATTCTTTTTCTTCTCTCTCCCAAGCCTCCGTACATTTATCCAACATTGTGACCCATTTAGAGATTTTTTATTTCTGAATCTGTCCTTATTTTATTGTCTTTAATTCTCTACTGCCTTAAAGAATTTTCAAAATACTAAGCAGCTTGGTTGTGGTTTCCCTGGATGTTGGCTCCACCTCTCTCCAATTTCAAAATGGTGGACATACCATTTCTGCTAGTTCTGTGGCTGCCAGGTAGGAGCCACACTTATCACTTTAACTCTGAGAAATGAGCATGCAGCACATAAACCCTTTTTGTCTTAGTTACAACCAAATCTGCCATACAGAGCACTGCACATCCAAAATAATCACACAGAAAATGTACTAATTAAAACACTGCTTGGCCATTATCTCTAACCTCATATTGACTAACTCCTACAACTTGATTTAACCCATATCCAATAATCTGTATATATTACCACAAGGTAGTAGCTTACTGGAAAGATTCAGCATGTCTGACCTGGTGGCTCCATAGTGGCTCTCTTTGTCTCTCTGCTTTCTTCATCCCAGAATTCAGTTCTGTCTTCTCTGCCTACCTAAGTTCTGCCCTATCAGGTCAAGCAGTTTCTTTATTGATTAACCAATGAAAGTGACACATAAACAGAAGGACCTCCTACAGCTGGTGCTCTTGCAGAACACAGTTTTATCTGGTCCAGGGAGGTGGAGCACAAGCACACATGTTAGGAGCTGAGAGATGGTGAACTATGCCTGGGCAGAGGAAGCCAGAGGAGACTCTGGTGGAGGTTTGTAGAGGTCCTGACATGCAAATTGGTCATCCGACCTGGGTATAGGGGCGAAAGACTAATCGAACCAATGGTGCAGGATAATTCTGTATCCTGTCAATTATGTTTTAAATAAATGCTGATTGGCCAGTAGCTAGGCAGGAAGTAGAGGCAGGACAACCAGACAGGAAGCAGAGGCAGGGCAACGAGAACAGGAGTATTCTGGGAAGAAGGAAGATCTCTCTGCAATCCTGGTCCGACACCAAATATGCAGAATGTGACCTGCCCTGTTGAAAAACATACCAAGCCACGTGGCTAACATAGATAAGAATAGTGGGTTAATATAAGTTTTAAGAGCTAATACAAAGCCTCAGCTAATGGGCTAATGAGTTTTATAACTTATCTAGACCTTCTTTTATAACTTATGGGACCTAACGACTGTGGGAACCAGACAAGACAGAAACCCCAACAAGCAGGCCCTCATGTTACATTGCTCCTTCTTTGTTATTTGGAGGATGCCTGATAGAAATGCTAATTCAAACCTATGTGACAGCTAGCATACACAGCAGACAGGTAGTTGTGGATGTGACCGAAAGCCACTCACCTGGTTACCTAGGAGAAAGAATGCTAATGTATTTCCCCTAAGTTAAGTTTTGGTATAAAGACTGTTTGGAGAAAAAAGTGAGAGGAATTCTTCAGGATGTGAACTCAGGACTTCATGAGGGACCACTGAGAATCTCCCTCCCGATAAAACCATGTGAGAGGGAAAGCAAATGTAATCTCAAATAAAACCCCGGTATTACTGATTAGAGAGACCCAGTTGAAACAGTCGTGCTGAAGCCTGACAGCTTTGGTGACTTTGGATGAGAACAGTTCCACAGGCTCACATGCTGCAGGAGGACCTTTTCGCTCCTTCAGCCAATAGCCATTGAAGTACAAGCCCACTGTGCTGCATGAATGCCTTCCGCTCCTTTAGCCAATAGCTGTTAAAGTAGCAGCCCACTGGGGGCGTGGTCTATTTATCTTTTAAAAAGAGCAGCAAGCCTCTGCCTGCTCTCTTGTTCCAGCTCTTGGTTCCAGCTCCTGCTCCTGTTCCAGCTACTAGGCTCCTTTCCTGGCAGTTGGTGTATTGTGAGTTTTACCTCCCAAAATAAATACACCTTTAAATACTAACTGGTGTGGGATTGTTTTGTGCATTATCTGGCGCCCAGCATTTGGTTTTAGAACCAACCTGCACCCCTCAATCCTCTGGCTCAGCTGCCTGCCTCTGGCTCAGCTGCTTGCCACTAGCTCGGCTTGGCCAGCTCAGCCTGGCACGAGCTCTCCCTCAGCTGTAACCTTCACACCTCCGGGAATCCACAGATACAGACAGTCTCTGCTAGCCTAAATTTGATCTATACTGAGCAGTTTTTAAGTTCCCCCTTGCAACTTGAGTCACAGAGCTCACAGCCAATCTTATTAAGACAGGGTAAGATGGTTTTGAAAAAAACTCTTGCCTGTTAAAAATAATCTCTCAGTTATTCTAGGCCTTAGTCAAAGTTGGTTGCTTCAATGCTGAAAGCATGACTTTGGGTGATTGCCTAAGTAGCCAGTTGTCTCTGAGATTTGTTGCATGTTTTGGTAGTTGTTTGATTGCACTTCCTAATTACTCAGGTAACATTATTTCCCTTCTCGGATCTTCTATGGGGTTGAAGACTGGGTAAATGTAGCAACTTTCCTTTCATTACTTGTTCAGGTTATTTATTATGCAAGACTTGGGCTAGTTAGGATAGGATATTTGTTCTTATTGTATATAATTTTGTAGTAGGTTTAAAATGCTCTTACTTAAACAAAAGGGGGAGGTGCTGTGGGAGGACCTTCTGCTCCTTCAGCCAATAGCTGCTGAAGAACGAGCCCACTGTGCTGCAGGAACGCCTTCTGCTCATTTAGGCAGTAGCTGCTAAAGTACAAGCCCAATGGGGCGTGGTCTATTTATCTTTTAAAAAAAAGCAGCAAGCCTCATCCCACTCTCTTGGTTCTGGCTCTTGGTTCCAGCTCCTGCTCCTGCTCGAGCTACTAGGCCCCTTTCCTGATGGATGGTGTATTGTGAGTTTTACCCCCCAAAATAAATACCCCTTTAAATACTAACTGGTGTGAGACTGTTTCTTGCATTACTCACATGCTTGAATCCTTGGTCCCCATTGGTTTTGAAATGTTGGAAAGGGAGTAGGATATGTGGCTTCTTTGAGGAGGGGTCTCTGAGGGTAGACTTTGAGCAGCTGCTGCTCCTATAGCAACCTCTATTTCCTCTTTCCAGATCTTTCCAGAAGGGAGCTCTCTCTGCTGTGCTTGCTGTCATCCAGATCTCCAACACCTGGAAACAAAACGTAAGTCCAGTTAAATGTTTTCTTTTGTAAATTGCTTTGGCAGTGAAGTCTCCTGACAGCAATACAAAGTAACTAATTCTGTGCCTTGTAGGAAAGTTTCTGGTTCCATGAGTGAGCTTCCTGTTTGTTGCTCCCACAGTAGGTATCTTTATACTATGAGACAAGCAATAACCGATTTTGGCAATGATTGCTCTAGCTCTTCTGACCCTCTGTTCTGGGGGGCTCAATGACTTAAATACAATTGAAACAATTAAAGAATTGTTTTCTGTTCTATTTTCTCTTCATCACAGGGGTAGAGAAAGGGAGTCTCTCTGGGGAAGGGCTCTTGGAGGACATTTGAGATAAGTGATTGTGTTTGAAATTGAAGGAGTCATGCTCTCAGATTTGGCTCCTAATATTTATAAACAGTGCATAACAATTTACCCAGGACAAGGAGCAGGCATATCTTCTGCTAACATTGCTCAGCTCACTACTCACTCACTATACAAATCTTCTCAGTTCACCACCTCCATGTGTGCTCCATAGTTGAGGGCACTGCCCTCATAAATGCCATTGATGAGTGTCATTCAGCTCTTTTCTGTGTTGAGGGGGTATGCCCTATTTCACCTATATATCAACAGTGTCTGATCAGGTAGGCAACTAAGAGTGAATAAAGAGAAAAATAAGGTACAGAACATGCAGATTTTTATCAAATATCTGGCATGAGTAGGAAAGAGGCAGAATTCTTTTAACATAAATATGAATTTAAAGTATGGTTGAACATGAGCAAGTTGCATGATCATGAGGAGAATTAAGAAACAGAAGGTTGCTGGGAGTCTACAGCCAAAGCACTTAATCACTATACTATATATAAGAGAAATAGGAGAGGGAAGCATATGGAAGGAGGAAAAGAATGGGGGAAGCTGACCCTTTTACTGGCTTTTGGGACCCTGCTCCTTATACTGGGTCACCTTGTCCAGCCTAGTTCCTCCAAGGCTAGCCCTTCTGGCAGCACCTCCCACTCCCTATAGTGGTTTCTTAACCACTTCCTCTTGTCTCAGGCTACCTTCTCTGAGAATCTCCAGCATACTAGACAGAGTTGCCTACTGGTTCAGGGGACCTCTCCCTGTTGACTATGGTTCTTTAACTTACTGATCATCCCACTGGTCTGTCTAGACTCCAGCAGAACACCTGAGACCTTTGCACCAAAAACTGCAAAAATCTAAATTGGGGTCAAAATGAGTATTGCCTGAATTTGCAGGAGGCAAGACCAAAAGAAGACAATATCCATAAAGAAAGACCCTTGGGTTCCATGTCCAGTATGTTCCAACTGGCTTAGGCAGTCCTATCCCTATGGCCTTACTGTTATGGTAAAACTAAAATGCCACAGGTCCCTGAGTGGTGGTAATGGGCAATGGGCCAGAGACCATGGCGGGCCACTAAGGCAGCCAGTCCCAGGCAGGGAGCCATGTAGTGGGTGAGAGACAGAGACCTATTAGGCATGCTGTAATGGTAAAAGTAAAAATGCTGCGGATCCCTGGAGGCTACAGCAGCAGAAGTGCTGCAGGTCCCTGAGCAGTGGCAGTGGGCCATGTGGTGGCAGGCAGTGAACAGCCAGGCCCAGGCAGGGATGGTGCAGTTCCCCGAGTGGCTGCAGAAGCCACAAAGAGAGACAGAGAGGTGGGCATGCGATGAGACCATGCCACAGGTCTCCTAAGGTGGCTGGTCCCAGACAGTGAGCCATGTGGGGGCACGCAAGACACAGAGACATGGATAGGCATGTCATGCAGAGTGAGGTTGGATATTTATTTAGTGGGTTATGGAGAGGAAAAAGAAAATGTAGAAGGGGGAAGAGCAGAGAGGCAGAGAGAGAGAGAAAGAGAGAGCAAGAAGGAAGAGACAGAAGGGAGAAGCGAAAAAGTGGGGAGAGGCAGAAGCTGCCTCTTCAAGAAGAAGATAGAAAAGGAAGGGACTCAGACTGGAAGCTAAGATAAGCTTGCTTCTGAAGACAGGGGAGGGACTGGGCGTGGCTTGTCTCTTAAAGGGACAGGACAGATCATTACATTCCCATCTCATTTTTATACTAAAAAGGCAGGAGGTTAGGCACTACAGGTTAAAGGAATTGGAGCAGCAGATTCTCAAGACTGCTTCCTGCTTGTTTGTGGGCATCATATTTGGGGGGAACCTGAGAAGGCTGGGTGCTAGTCACATCCTGGCATAGCTGGTCTCTTTGCTTCTGTCAAGTGCTTGTGGTATGGGAATGTCTGGTGTTTGTTTAAGGTATTGGAGGAACAGAAGACAAAGTTAAGTTTACGGAAAAAAATTAGGACCACGGAATTGAGGGGGCTGTATCTGACCGGTTTAAGGTGGATCCTTCAATTCCACTCCCTGGAACTCACAAGAATTCTTTGGGTTTCTGAAAAACAAATTTTAGACATATACATTCTATAAACAGTAGCATATTTATGTCAGAATGACCGTGACAGATATTTTTGCACAATGAAAAGTATTTCTAAGACTATGGAAGGCAACATGAGAGAGAAATTTGATAACTTGTATTCTTCCTCACACCTTTATAACTTGCAAATCTTGTATTTATATTTTACCAAACTTTGTTTGGTGGTGTTGTCCATTTAAACTGACAAAACTGCTCAGCTGCCATACTGCATCAGAGATTTTGAGAAGGATACAATTTTACTTGAGTTATTGATTTAAAATGACAGAGAACTTACTTGGTTGTCACCTAGAGCAACTCTTCAGGGTCCTCCATGGTTGCTGAAGGCCATATTTGCCTTTTGCTGTTTAGCACGAGGCCTGCCAGGCTCCAGAACATCCTTTGGGCTAAGAATCTGTAGGAAGACAAGCCAATCTTGACCTGAGCAGGTAAGCTATCGATTCCAGCGATTCTACCCATGTCTGGAGATCTTTAGTTTAGATGAAAGGCAGTTTTCCCCAGTGGTCAGTGCTTGGCAGTTGAGCAAATTGCAGATAGATGTTGCTGTGTGTCCATTTGTCTTCTGTCTTCTTTGGAGGAGGTAGAGTGCTGTTAGGAATCAACCTGTTTCTTTTTGTTATGAAAAGTTTTTTTTAATAATTAAATTTTTTTTTGATATTTTGAAACAGGGTTTTTCTGTAGTTTTTGGTTCCTGTCCTGGAACTATCTCTTGTAGACCAGGCTGGCCTCGAACTCACAGAGATCCACCTGTCTCTGCCTTCCAAGTGCTGGGATTAAAGGCGTGTGCCACCACTGACCGGCCAATAATTAAATATTTAAATGGCATATTTCCCAGATCTCTAGGCAGTTAAGGGCTGTTTATCAGGTATAACTACAGTATAGAACCTGCTGGAGAGCTGTGTCTGAGCTTGGCTATACTGACTTTTAACTTAACAGGTAATATTTATACTCATAAAAAGAAAGAAAGAAGAAAAAATTGCTTGCAACAGAAGGTTAACGGCAGGACTGGCAATAGTATAGAACATATTAATAGATTTTATATGAGGGTTGGATTAAATATAAAGTATTTTTGTAAGAGAATTGAAAGTACATACCAGTTTAAAACATGAGATTATTGTTTTTGTAGTCCGAAATGAGATGCAAGGAACAGATAACTCTAACATTTAATAGTAAACATAGGCTCATTCAAGTCACATGTATGAACACACATACATACACACAGAGAAAACAGGGATTGGGTGAGGTGGATGCTCTTGGTAGGCCCTACAAAGACATGCCACTGCACAAAACACATATGCAACAGAGTCAACAAGAGCAATTTAGAGACAAAAACATAAGTAAATGTGGGAATAGGGAGGGTATACCTCAGTAAAGATGGTAGGACTTGGTCCCTTGAGCTGAATCTCAGTGAAGTCACCTGACCTCACGTAAGATGGTGGTAAGGTTACCCATGTAATAGAGCTAACACTGGGGAACCAAGCAGGATATACCTCAGTAAAGATGGCAGAACTTGGTCACCTGACGTGGCTCTCAGCCAAGATGGTTGCAAAGTCACCTGACCTAAGATAAGATGGTGGTAAGGTCACCTGACCTCAGTCAAAATGGCAGCAGTCACATGTTGCATGGAAAAGCCACAATTTTTGAGTTGCGGGGATTTTAAGCTTAATAATAAGATATACCTAGAAGCATGATCTGCCCTGTTGCTGAGCCGCCATGCCACAAGCCATGGTAGAAAATGAAAGGCTGGAATTGAAAACAGCCACTTCATGGATCCAACCACACTTATTGGCAGCAGCAGTGGTGGCGGAGGCAGTTTGAGGAAACTCCTTCCATTTGCCTGTGTGCTGACAGTAGTTAGAAAGCTCCCATGAGAGTATAGCCAGTGGGACACCAGCAGTGTGAGTGTAGGAGCTGAAGAAGTAGGGCATTAAGCCCTGTGGTTTCACGACCTCTAAAAGGCATCCTTCCCAGGGTGGGTATAGATGGCTTGCTACCCATAGCTGAAACTGTAAAAACCTGTGACACCACAAGACCCACAGTGAGATGTCTCTCCACTATAGGCAGGGTGTGAATTGCCATGAACATCACAAGACTTGTGGGAAAACATCCCCTGCCCCCTAGTGGCATGCTAAAGCCTGACTCGATCCAGTCAGGAAGCCAGAGAGGCCAAAGGCCACTCTGAGCAGCCTTTACCAAAACAAAAGCAAAAACAAGCAACAGGGCAGGGAAAAAAAGAAAAGAAAAAGAAAAAAAAGAAAGAAAACCCAAGGAACCCTGGGCCTCCTTTTGAATGCACTGTACAGTGTATGCAGTGCTAGCATGGGAGGGCTGACCCCAGGCCATCCAAATACAATTTTAGCTAAGGGAAACAAACCAAAAATGAATGTCAGCAAAGGGCACAATCCTCCATGGTTGGAGGCTGTCCCCCCATTTCTAGGAACACCAGAATATTGCCAGGAGCTCAGTGGACAATTTCTCAGATTCAGTAAAAATATTCGGAGAAATGGTTAAGTTGAAATTGCTCTGTAGAAATTGTGCTCAGACATATGGAACACGTGGCTATTGT